TTTAACTGGAAAACTTTGAGTGTGCAAAGTGTATTGACCTTACAGCTTGGTTGAAAATGGACTGTTCAGTGACACAATATTCATCTTTAAAAGTTTACGGGCTTTCAGGCATATCAAGGAAGATGGCTGCCAGAATTAACTAAATCCTTTAATGTGACAAGTGGAAGAATGTTGAAAATGAGAACCAAGTTTAAAGTACAGCTAGATAGAAAATATCTTTCTAATGAAGCCAGTTTCTATAAAACCTGCTTCCTTTCCCCCCTCCTACTGACAGCATTTAGTGTTTACACTAAGGCTCAATGTTTGAGGAGCAGCACCAATTATGGATAAGTTTTTATTTAGCTTCCTGTCCTCCCCCCTCCTCCTCACCCCAAATCTCCTGCTGACTCCGTTACCTCATGCATTTTTCTAGAGCTGCCCTATTGTTAATCAATACCTGAGGTTGACGACTGGAGGCCAACTGTGGACCTGAACTTGTGCTTTGTGTCATATTTCATGAGGATTAAGCCTCCCCCTTCGAGGCTTTCAGTTGACGTTTGATAGCATTTGTGGGGGGAAGGTGTACCGACCTACTGTACCAGATACAATTGATGCAGTAGAAAAAAGGAGTATTTTTTCTTTTCAGTTTGACTTTAGTTAGATGGAGAAAAATTTAATCTGTATCTTAAACTGGTTTGTAGTCTGTGCCTTGGCTTCTAGGGAACTGGGATGGGCATTTTTTTTACTATTTTCTCACATTTAATAGACTAGACAATAAATCAAATAAATAATCAACAGATTAATCCATAGTGAAAATTTTCATTAGTAGAGCTGAAAAGATTAGTTGCTTAATTGATTTTAGAGTAAAAATTCACAGGTTCTAGCTTCTCAAACATAAATATTTTCTGGTTATTTTAGTCTTCTGTGACATTAAACGGAATATTTTTTGTTTTTGGGCCATTGGTTGGACAAAATTAGACATTTTAAGATGTCACCTTAGGACATTTTTTGCTATTTGCTGACATCTGGTAGGCCAACAACTAATAGATTAATTAAGAAAATTAAGAAAAAGTCTTGAGTGTTTACATTTATTTACATTAAGTTATATAAGAATACGGAATAATGTGATTGTAAATGTTGCAAGTGGTTTAATAAAGTATTTTCCTGTGATGCTGTACAAAAAAGGTAAAGATACTTTTGCATTTAAGAAGAGCATATTTTGTGATGTTAAGTACATGTGCTATTGACGATATGAATAACCTCACCACAAGGCCCTGTAGTCTGCCTGCCTCACTGCACATTAACGCCTCCGAATGCTCTCGCCCAGCATGGCAGCACTGCTGCCACCGTGTGTTCACCTGCCAGATCCTAATGAATATGCACTGTGTTCTCTGTTTTCTATCTTGTGCATGCCCTCCCCTTCACCCCCTCACCCCGTGCATGGTGCACTCCCTCCATCCTCCTCCTTCCCCCTTCCAACACCACCTCACCTACCTCCTCATCCTACCCCATCCACCCCTTCACCTCCACTGACACCGCTGTATGTGTTGCTGCATGGCCTGTGGCCTCGACGCCTCGCCTGGCACTGGCCTTCCACACCCAGGACCACTCTGGCACTTTGGGCGCGGACGAGTTCAAGGCCTGCCTGATCAGCCTGGGCTTCGATATCGCCAACGATGCACAGGTACTTAACCGTTGCCACACTCCAGCTGTGAGAGGTTTAACTGGTTTCTTTTTTTCCCCTTTTGTACTTTTTCCCTATTGTATTTCTATCCTTCCTTCTATTCTCCCTCTATTCCCACCTGCTTATCCCTCCTTTTCAAATGTCCTTTGTGATTTGGCCTACCTTGCAACGTCCACATTGTGGATTGTCTTTCTTCCTTAATTCTACTCTTTGTTCATCCTTTACTCCTTTACTATTTGCCTCCACTATCCCTGCCACTCTGTATATTTCTTCTCCTCCTGGTTTCGTTTGTCCATCGCTGACCTTGTAGAAGAAAACAGGAATCATGGATGCTGAAGACTTCAAAACCTGCCTTATCTCCATTGGCTACAACCTGGTAAAGCCATGAACACTTTTAAAGTATGAAAAATTGTTTGTGTGTGAATGACGAGACCATTCAGAAAAAGGTAAACAATAGATGTAACCTTCATTTTATTTTTGAATGTTTATAAGTCGTATTTTAGATTTTAAAAGGTGGCTTATTTTCCATAGAGCTCCTTTTAAAAGAATGAATTGTGCTTCATTATGATCCAGATGAAAGAGTTTAAACCAGCATTACCTCAAAGTAATTTAAAATTCACTTGTGTAATATATGTTTGTACTAAACATAGACGTTATCCTGAGTCAAATCTCTGCGTGAGCTTCATAGTTCCTCTCTCTTGCCACCAGGGTGAGAACGAGTTCTCTCGTATCATGAGCATTGTGGATCCCAACCGAATGGGCATAGTCACCTTCCAGGCCTTCATCGACTTCATGTCCCGTGAGACGGCCGATACAGACACTGCCGACCAAGTCATGGCCTCCTTCAAAGTTCTGGCAGGGGATAAGGTATGTGTTATGTTGTAGTATCATTAAAGAAAAGTAACAATGAAGCAGAGTAGAAATTCCTATTGTAGGTTAAGCTCCATTTGGCCAAAATATGACTATTTAATATGCTTTTTTGGTAGCAGAAAAGAGACAAAGATATTAAATATCTAAATCTCTTGCTAGATGTATGATTTCCTCACCTATCACACATCTATTTCAGCACTCATCATTTAATTTACTTAACAGTAAATTGGCAAACCAAAAAATTAGCTGAAAGTGGCTGGAAGCTGCATTGCATTACTGAGATGGGTGTTGATTCTGAGTGGAATCAGCAATAGTAATGAGTCTTTTTAATTTAATGATAACATAAAAATTATTATAAAAAAAAAAAAGGTCTTTATGCGCTTTAAAATTAGGCTAATTTTATTTCCCAGAGTTCGCACCATCTGTTAACTTCTGACTATAATGTATTGATAGCTCACAGCTGCTTTTCTATTATTTTTTTTTCTTATCCTCAACAGAACTACATTTTAGCTGACGAGCTGCGCCGGGAGCTGCCTCCGGACCAAGCGGAGTACTGCATGGCCCGCATGGCCCCCTACACCGGCCCCGACGCCGTGCCCGGAGCCCTCGACTACATGTCGTTCTCTACCGCTCTGTACGGAGAGAGCGACCTCTGAACACTCTGTCAGTCGTCCTGACTTGGGACCATCAGCCTACCTGCTCTGATCACCGCTACTTCCTCTGACTTGCCCATTCACGACACTCCTGTCCTATTACGCTCATTTTTTGTACGTCTCTGGCCTTATCTCTTTGTCACTATCCTCTGTCTCGTCCCCCTGCACCACCTCCTCCTCCTCCCACCTCTCCAGCCTCTTCACTGCTCCCTCACACTCTGTCTCCGTTGTATTTGCTTCCCATGCAATGCAGCAGCTCTCCAGGTTTACAAAGAGGGAGAGAGAAAAATGTTTTTCTGTTTTTATTTTCTTGTTGTCATTGTTTTTCTTCATAAAATGAATAAAGTTAACATATTTTATTATACTGAACAAAAAAGGTATTTTTCTTCACCTGATTGAAAATAAGAGACAAAAATTGTAATAAAGAAAAATTGCTATATTTTCTCTTCTTATTCTCTGTTTGCTACAGCGATCAGCTGTGGTTTTAATGTATTTACCTTGTAGGTGTGTGTGCATATAGCTGATGTTCTGATGTAGTGCAATTTATGATAGTTACACTGTAACACAAGAAAATGCCTATATTATAATTATTATGTCGTTGGTAAAGCCGGTAGGACCAGGACCCAAATGATTGGGTGGTAGCTTCAAAACTCCCACATGAAGTTAGTGATTACCTGCATGAAGAGGAGATTAAGATTTGAGTCAGCAGGAACTGTAAGGAGTGTGTGTGTGTGTGTGTGTGTGTGTGTGTGTGTTGAACCTCTTTCCAGTGTTAGAACCAGTTTTAGACCTGGGTGAAAATCTGTGAGGCATCCCCTCCAGTTCAGGACTTTACCAGTGTATCATCAAACAAATCTGTTACTAATTAAGTTATGACAAAGTAATTGCCACACAGTGAACCTTGCGAATTTGGGGTCCCTGAGGGTCTGGGGCCAGATGCAGTTGCCTGCTTGCCCAGTTGGTAATCGCACCTTGGTTCTGTGCAATGCCCACCGTGCTGTGAAAATCTCTAATTAGGCAAATTAAGTAAAAACACCCGAATGGGTCAACAGATAGGAGTGTGAATTGAAACCAGTAGCTGCAGAGCTGGTAGGAAAACATTTTAAAATGATAGTGTTAAAAGATGCAAAGACACCAATGTAGAGGTAAAGAGTATAGAAGCAAAACAAAGTCAATCTAAGTTCTTTGTTTGAAGGTTATGTGTGTCAGAGACAGAATATCTACTGATTTGGTATTACTGTACAAAACCTGTCACTACAGTTCAGAATCAGAAATACTTTGGAGAAATTCTTTGTAACAACAGTTGCACACTTTGCGTATCAAGATATTAAGGAATAGAAATAATAATATAAAGTAGGTAAATAGAAAATAGAGCAAAATATACAGATCCAAGCATAAAGGTATGAGATGTACAGTATTTTAAAGAATCAACAGAAATTGTCAAATGGAATGGATACATATTTACATATAAATATAAGGAGTGTAGATATGTAGCTACAGTACTGACAGAAGTGTCATTGTAAATAGTATTACAATTAAATACTAATATGTGTGTTGAGTACTGGTAGAACAAAGAGCAGGAGCAACTGCATGCATGCACGAGGTTAAATAGTTAAATCGGTGAAATTGAGTGACAGATTAAACAAAATATTACAAGGATACGTCTTGACACGAAGCCCTTTAGTAACACTGCAACATTAAACAACTCTTTTTTTCTGTCATTTGTTTTCTCTCGACATTAAAAATTTCCCTTTGCTATCCCGGAGACGTACACACGTAGGAACCTTACTCGTGACTCCCCAACTGTACGGACCTGTCAGTGCGTCGGACACACTCCGGAAACGCGTTTCAGCTGTGACCTGCTTGGTGTCTGCATCAGTGACATGGGGCTTGTAGCTGGACAGAAGAACCATGTTTAACTTAAAATCCTTGCAGAGAAACAAAACAGTGAAATATGGAGTCCCAATGCTTGTAAGTAACTTTTATATTACGTTTTAACATATTTACAAAGCCGTTGATATGCCTGTTTGCTAACACTTTTGCTAGCAACTTAGCAGTTTCATGACACATAACTGCTGTAGCGAGTTATTTTATTAATTTACTGTTAATATTAACATTTGGACCTCACAATGATGAGTTATTTTTAAAGTTGTGTTTGAAAACGTTTTATTTACATGTGTTGCCATATCTAGCTTTGAGCATTACAATTTAACATTACCTTGTTAAATTGAATCAGAATCAGAAATACTTTATTGATCCCCCGAGGGGAATTTCTCACTTTGCGTATCAAATAAATAAAGAATAGAAATAATAATTATAGAAAGTAGATGAGTAGAAAATATAACGAAATATACAAATCAAAATATAAAAGAGTGTGTATATGTACCGAAGTAAAATAATAAATAGTAGTAGGGTAAGTACACTAATAGTAATAATGAGTATGTCTACTGGTAGAATTGATGTGGAATGGATACAATCCTTAAAAACTACAGTATTGGGACAGAATTACCAGAGTATTGAAGCAGGGAATATTTCACATTGAGTATTTAGAACAGAAGATATTGAACATTATTACAGAGACATGGCAATATTGAAATACAAGAATGTGTACTAAAGGGTAAAGCACAAGCTACCTGTGCATATCTATCGGTTTCAAAGTAATAGGAATTGTATTCATGCACTCAGTTGCTAGTTTATTAAGTACTTTCTATTACAAGGTATGCTGAATATAGGTTCCAGTCCAGGAGGGGAAAGTTAAGGGAAATTTTATTGACAGTATTCAGCGACACTTCTTGTTATGAAAGGTCTTCACTGCTTTTCCCCGTCCAGACCAAAACAACTATACTAGACTTGTCAAATCTAGACCACATTAACCCAGAGAAGTTTGAGATGTCACTATATTTAGGCTCTAAACTTTTATTTAGAGTCAAATATGGTTTAGATTAAGAGGGACAATGTAAAGGCTCTTTTAAAAACACAGTTTTTTGTGTTTTGTTATGTTTCACAAATCTGAAAATCTGTGTTTAAAAATCTTAAACTTCTCTGTGTCAATATAGATTTGACGAACCTAGTTTTTATTTTTTTTTTTTATCAGACATGGTCCACTGAGATCTGGATGGGGGGGGGTTCTTAAACAGTCACTGGAGTCTGCTTGTTAATCAACTCCAGGTTTGACAATGGTAAATTTAAGGCGTTAGACCTGATCTAACAAATCGGTAAGTGGGCCTTGAACAGCATTAGGATGTCTAACACCCTTACAGAACAATAAGTGGCATTAAAAAATGAGTTCTCGACTTTTCTCTTCACTGCTGAAACGAAATCCTACAATATTGATTGTTTTTGTGGAGTTTTTTTTTAGAGTGGTGTCTTTTTGAATTCATGGTCATTTTTGTGCTTTAAATTGCATTGCATATTGTGGGCTACAGAATCATTCTTAGATGCTTAAATAATTACATTTGCAAAAGTTATCATGGGCACTAGTTTTACAGTGATATCATGGCCACATTATTCAGAAGAAACTCCTTCCAACCTTTTGTTGAAGTACTCTGCAGTGCCTTTACTAAGTAACCAAAGTTTACTTTGGATTAAATTAACTAACCAAAAGTTTTTTTCAGTTGCTGGTAGTTGGAGGTTCCTTTGGCCTGCGAGAGTTTACACAAATTCGTTATGATGCCCAGAGGATCAGAAAGAAGGTTTGTAGTGAATTAACTCTTACATATATTTGATGGAGAGTTGCGTACGATAAATGTGACTGTAGACTAAGGTTGAATTCTCTTTCCACCATCACAAATAGCAATGGAAAGAACAACCTCACAGCCACTTTAAGGCTAAAAGACATTCTCTGTAGAGCCAGTGTGTAGTGACTCCTCTCAGTGGTTAGACACGTAATTGCAGGTGAGAATTGTGATTTTCATCCAAGAAAGCAGTGTAAAAATAGCACACGAGTAGAGAGATTTATACATCTGTGAGGCTCAGAGAATCTCTCAGTGCAGTGTGGTTGATTTAGGCTTTTCTAAAGGAACTTAAAATTAGACACGCTGTATATCCATCATTTCAGACACTGCAGGCATACGGCACTGAAAGGCTTTTCTAACCCATCAATACAAGAGCAAGAAGTGAGAACAAGCTCTAATAATTCACTAAATGACAGACCCAATTCATTAATATGACAGAAGACCGGCCCTTTATTAGAAGCCATTACAATCTGATGAGCGGGCTGCGAGGGGAACTAACTGTTTTGTGCTATTTTACTCTAATGCCAATGCACGTCAACTGGGTGGGAGCCAGATGGCAGGGTCCTCTTTTCTTATTACTGTCCATGTGTGGTGGCACTAGACTGAGGATGACAGTGGGGAGGGGAGGCATCGTGCCTCTGGTGCCATGTCTGTGCTTGTGCCCCCACACTACTTGCTCTATTCTGATGGGGCCTGCGGCAGACCGAGCCCCTCCTCTTACACCCTGTGGAGTAAAGATTCAAGTCTGCAATTTATTGCATGGAATATCTAAACAGTTGTCATTAATGCACATGATTAAAACCACTCTTCCGGTTCTTACTTGGAACTGTTATCAGCCGATTCCATTATTTTGTTCTCACAGAAATTTGCTCACCTAGAGGTAGGGCATTCGATTATCATTGCACGTCTTTCTGTCAAATTCAGTGAATAACTCAGGGTCCACTACCTGTCTGTTCTGTGTGTATGCAGAAAAAATATCCAGCGTTTGTACACAGAACTGGCTCTGTAATTGGCAAACAAACAAAGTGGTTCAGACCGAACCACACAACACTATTCCAGCCGTTCCAGCCATGATATGTGTGTCAGGTAACATTAAGTTACTTGCCCACAGAATTTCAGCTTACTTTATAATTTGCCAAGACATGCTGTTGTTGTGATGTTAGATATAGTAGCAGGAGAGTTGTGAGAATCGTTGTCTGGAGCTGTTGTGCCTGCTCTGGGACCGTCTCGTCCCCTCTGCACGTTACAAGGTAAATTTAATCGTCATATTACAACAGGGTTTGTAAAATGAAATGCTGTAAAATGTAAAATCACAGCTAAATGTTAGCTTTACAGCAGCAACTGTAGTGAGCAAGACACTTGCAAACACTTGCTGTGTCGTTCTTTGCTCTATATTATGGTATTTGTCAGGGTGTTGAATTTCTCTAGAATTGCTTACCCCACCGTTTTAAATTATTAACACCACTGTCTGCAGGTTAAGTCACCGTATGATCTGATTTGCATTTTCTCTTCCAACAATTTAATTTGGCCTGGAGGCAGAGATGAACTTCTAGCCCTTTTGTCCTCCCTGTGCAGATTTGTGTAAGTTCTCCTCATTTCTGATGCTCCCAGTTTATTTTTGAGGTTCAGGGTAATGGCAGTTGAAGAAAAGCTAATAAAACCTCACTAATAATACCTCCATAGCAGGTATCATACTAATTACTTAGGCTGTTAATTCCCTGGTCGGAAGGCTGCAAAATATTCCATGTATTATTTATTTGCTATAGTAATGTAGGTCTAATTAAAAATCAATCATGGAATTATAAAACTCATCAGTCACCCGAGTAACTGCAGCATTATTGCCATGAAATATTAGAACTCATTAAAAGTAATGATTCAGAATGGGATTCATTTCAGTCCTATTCTTGGGCAAAATCAATTTGAATTGCAAAACCCAGATAGCTCCATTGGACTCGACTCTCTCTTTCTCTTCTGACACATAATTTTTTTGTTTTTACTAAACCTGATGATGTTGATGCCAAATCAAGCAGAAGAGTAAAAACAGGGTAAATTGGATCCTCCCTCTAGGTTTGGAGAGGCTAGATTTGACTGGTGAGAAAAAGTATTCAGTGCTTATCTAAGGTTATGGGCCTGACTGGAAAACTGCTTCACCTCTTCTGCAGATGTCATCATTTATACATTAAAGAAATAATACAAGAATAAGAGGAGGGAGAGCTGCTGCCTGAAGGCTCTTCTTACGGCTTCAGTCGAAAGTTGCAACCATAAAACAACTCCCTCAAACTGTTTCTTTTATTTGTAATTTCTACTGGCTTTGTTTAGATTTTGCTACCCTCCAAATCCATTTCTCAAACAAGCAGCCCCTCCACATCTTTTTCTTTCATCTCATGTCTTTGATTTGTTTTTATTAGCTCATGGTGTTCTGAACACGTGACTTTCTGCTAGAAAGCTTTGGTTCGTAGCATTTCTGCTCTGCTCTCTCTCAGCTGGATCCTTCGCTGGAGGCCAAAGTGAACGTCCAGAGGCAGTCAGCCATACTGGAGGAGGAGTACGAGGTAAGGAGAGATGAGCTGAGACCCTGAGGGGGGAGAGTAGATGAAAGAAAGCGCCTGGTGTAGTCTGTCTGCAGAAAAAGTGGTGTGTGCTTTCATAGGGTGTATTCAATATGCAAGATGTTTTTTAAAATTATATTTTGTGTGCAGAAGAGCACATTTTGAGCATTGTGAGTTTTCATATAATTTTATATATAAAATTGGGACTGTGCAAGTGTTACAGACTCAGGTCAACTAGATCAGTAGTATTACTGTTCTCAATTTGTGCATTTAGTATTCAGTGCTAATGTGAAGGTGCCTACATATCTTAATTCTTAATTTCTTATCCCTTCTATACATTTTCTTTATTAATTCAAGTGTTCATTTGTTTTTTAAATTAATTTGTGGCCCATGTTTCCTCTGCCATTGATCTGGGATGGTGAGTCACCCTGTCTTTAAGGCATGCTAACCCTTCAATGATTTATCCCTTTCCAGTGTGCTTATTGGAAATGTTTATTGTCAGATGTTCATTTTAATTTATTTAACAAAAAATAGTCGATACAAATGTAACAATAGATTATTACCAACCTCAGTTTAAGGAACACAGCGAAGGAAGGCGATGTGAAAATCCGGCTGTCATAGAGTGGCGGGAACACCCTATCATTTAAATGTGGGGATAACATGCACATCTGACAGTCTCTCCTGGAAGGCCAGTAGAAGTGAATATCGGATGGTCAGTTTAAGTAAGTTACAGAAATGGTACAATGGCATTATTCAACTTTGGAAAGGTGTGCAGCAGAGGTTACTGAAGCCATTTGACCATCCAACAAGCTGCTCTGAAGAAGCCTACTGGCATCTTAATTCTTGCCACTTCTTACCTGCGTGTTATACCAGATGGTGTGAATTTTCTACATCTGGCCAGTTCAAAGTACATCAAGTAAACTGAGAAAAGAATCCTAAATGTTCATACAGACTTTTTTGCACTCATGAGAAAACTACAGAGTTGAAAAATCCAGTACAGTTTTCAAACATTGTTTAATCTGGTCTGAATTTTTTTAAATATTGAATTATTGGCATGCTGAAGTGTAAACCTCGTCTCCTCCTTGGCGTTTCTGCAGAAGATAAAGGAGTTAAATTTGGAGGAGTGGAAGAACATCCGTGGTCCTCGTCCCTGGGAGGACTCCAGGGAGTACCAGGAGCAGCAGCGCACCAGGCAGGACAAGAAAGCCTGAGGCCCAGGGATGCCTGGCCGAGCAGACTGCGCACACTGCAGCAGGACGGACCGGACAAGAGTGGACAGAGAGTTTGTGGCAACATTGCGCTGAGACCCAGTTACTGCAGACGCTGCAACTTCAGGGCATGGTCTTTGCCCGTGTTGTACTTTAAACTTTGGTCATTGTTTGCAACAATTTGTGGTCTCTTCTGGTTGTAACACATTCAGGACTACTAGTGGTTAAAATTGTGCCACATAAACCTAAAACCTCGACATAAGTTCATGGTTGATCTTAATTTTAAACAAGCATGCACTAGCCGTTATTGTTTTATACACCCAAGTATAAAGCAGTTACTTGTTGCTAGCTTATTCTCCACTCTGATGATCAGGAGTTTGTAATAAGAACAACCACTAGGTGGCACATCTTGGCTCTGCTGCACCTTACCTTTCTCACTGAAAGCAAAGAAGGAAATAAATATCAATGTATAATTTCCATGTCTCAGTCAATGATGTACTATTGATCCAAATAGTTTTACTTTTATTTTGTTTTTGACAAAAGCTCGTAGATGTGGTGAGTCTTTGTTTACAACAGTATTGCATTGATTTACCAGTTGAAAATATAAAAGAATAAATAACACAACAGTCCAGCCTTTCCTCAGGCTTTATAGGTCTCGACAGTAATCAGTTTCTCTGACAGTTATTACTTTTCAATGCGGTGGATTTATTACGTTTTATTACATTTAGCTTTTTTTGTCCTACAAACCGAAAGAACATGATATTTGCTGCAAGTCTTCAGATGGTGCGTATAAGTAATATTTGGCTGACTGACAGATAATATATGTACTGCTTTACCTCATTCAGTTACTGAAATAGGATGTAATGAATATTCTTCAGGTGCGGAGGTCTATATGAAAATATCCTATGGGATACATTTTCTGTAATCACATTTTTTATGTTGATGATTTTTGAGTCACTTTAATACCCAGTGTTTCTCAGCCTCAAGAATTTATGGGACACAAACAAGAGCTCTTATGCGAGGATTATTTTTTCATGCACAGGTTGTGCAGATCTAAATCTTGCTTTTGTCGTTGGCTGTTTGAGTGTCAGACTGAGTTGCCATGAAGCAGCAATTGCCTCTAATCCACCAAACACATCTGAACAACAATACAGAGCTATCTCGTAATTTGTCACAGGATTGCCAGATCAGATCCAGCTTTTCTTGCCAGGCTGCGTGTTGATAGAAATGTCTGGTGTATGCTTCTGTTTCTGAAGAGGCCTCTCTAAATTTAGAATTGCCAAATGTTGGTGCATCTGTAATTTTAAAAGTCAATTCTACTTATTCTAGATTAGATATGTATACAGTGAAGATGCTACAGTGAGGATGCTGCCGTTTGTAACTGTGAGAAAGAAGAAATATCGAGTTTGATGTTGTTGATAAGCCAATCTTTACCATTATTTGGAGGATGTGACTTATACACTGAGGTTAGCTGCAGTGGTGGAAGAAGTATTATGATCTTTTACTTAAAGTCCTGCTTTCAAAAGTACAGAAGTATGTCTAAAAAGTATAAACTTAAACTCATGATGCAGCCAAAATAGGGTCTGTCAATGTTAAGAATTTATATGTTATACCATTAGATAATTATTATTGATGATGCACATGAAAGCTTCATTTTAATGTTGTAGCTGTACACAGTGCCAGACTTTGAAAACCCCTTCTCTGGATAAACTCATCCACTCTCATATGCTCTATTTCTTTGGTAGAAAGTAGTTTCAGTGAAAAATGTTTATGTTTTGAGTAAACTGACCATTATTCTATAATGGCACTTTTACCATGGAAATCTCCATGTACTCCATACATACCATACTGCAGACAAAATGGTGTGTAAAATTAGCTTAGTATTTGTATTAGCTTTGTATTATACTGTATGTATATATTGAAAATATTAATGTATCTTAATTTCCTCTTCAAAGTCCTCCTTAAATTTAAATTATATGGAAGATATTAAGGTGTGTGTTTGGTGAACCATATGTAGCCTCTTCCACTTACTTCAAATGAGAGCGCTGAAGCAAAAGATATGGTACAGCACACTACAGTTCTATAATACAGTATGGGGGTAGTCGTCAGAGGCCAAAATGGGTCAGTCTAGGAGCACATGCTATTGTAAGCGAGCTGTCGGGATGCATGATAAAGTGGGATTCCTAATTTGAAGAATTTGCGGCCCTTCACGTGCTGTTAAATTTTTTATTTGAAAATGCAAGAAAATGCCATCAAATATTCATTGGACATTGCTGGGAAAAGGAAATCAATTTCAATATTTACTACACCGTTCTATGAGCAACATAACTAATTAGGTCTGAATAACAAAAATCATGAAGCTAATTGAAATTTGGGCGTTCCTTTCCAGGTCTTGGGCCCCTGAATTATTGAGATTTTCCCTTCTAACCTGCGGCCCTGTGAGTTGGTTTTCCACAAATCAAACTGGCCGATGTTAGATCATCACAGCTCTGATGTGGAAACACTGAAGAAGAACTAGTCAGCTCTCAGTCTTTTTGGCCCTGAATGAAGAATCCCTCAATCCCAGACACACTCACACAAACATGCCAGATGATGATTAATTACCACTGGTATTATCTCACAAGAAGACATTTGTCACAATAAGTAGAGACATGATCATTCAGTTCCATGAGAGAAATACAAAATATTATATTGGGATTCCCCGGTGAATCTGTAAACCAGGTTGACAACCCAAACTACACATTTTTATGTAGTTAAATAGTAATACCAGGCCAAAATTTTCCCTCTCTGTTGCTCCTATGACCACAACCAACTGTGAGGTCATGATGTATTGACAGCCTGGAGTACATTTTTTACATCACTGCAGCAGCATGGGAAGCTAAACCACTGGAGGTCAGTTCCCTCCAGTTTCCACTGGTGTTAAGTTGCTCTTTAAGCCTTGCTTCATTTTTGTAGAAAAATTAAAAATCAAATCATACACATACTGGATTATTTAGGTTGATACCAATATTGATATTTAATTGTTTAAAATATTGACATATCAGCTGATCGACATTTTCATCAACTCATAACATAAATGCATTTTTTGATAAGGATCTGTTATATTTTTTTGTGGGATATTTTACAGTTGACAATGTGTCAGTGCTCTCTTGTGGTCAAACTATATAATGGAGACACTAATGTTCCCTCAAACAATTATCTTTTATCAATAAATCTTTTATAATAATTTAATATTTAAAATGCCAATTATCTGCTGTTCTCCTCTGTTTCATTGTAAATGGAATATTTTTAGTTTGTGGACTGTTGGTCAGACAAAACAAGAAGTTTGATGAAGTCATATTGGTTTGTTAGGAGCTGTGATGGTAATCAACATCAGGTTTTATAGTCTATAATGATTAATTGGACAAAAAAATTGAGATGAATCAATAATAGACAGTCCTTTGGTGCAGGTCTAATGTAGGCCTATCTGTGTATTTTTATCGATCTGTTGTCTCAGTGAAGCTGCCGTCAGTGAAAGCTTCAGCCTTCACTACTGACTCACTAAAAATGTCACTTTCAGAGAGACAAAAAATAGACTTATTCTACATAGAGGGGGAGGGAGGGAGGGAAGTGAGCGGGGAAATGGCCCCAATGCTTATTTTATTTAGTCTCTCTCTCTCTTTCGCTTTCTTTCTCTCTCTCTCTCATTTCATTTCTATAAATAGACAGACGCTTGGCAGCTGAGGGGTAGTCCACGCAGAACAAATGCACCCCCTGGCTGTTTCACTTCATTCCCCACATAATGAGCCAGACGGAACGCCGCCGTCACTTCCACTCTCTCCAGGACCGAGGCAGGGGCCACACGTTGCCATGGCGATGTGGCTGCCGGACAGAGGGGCCCAGGCAGCATCAGTCTGGCACGCAAGCTGATCTCTCCTCCTTGATCCCTCCCTTAATTTTGATCCTTCTTCCTGTCCTTCTTCCTCTCTTTCATTCAGCACCATAAGGCACGGGGGAGATGAGTAAATGAGTGCGGAGTCCAGTGCCCTACACTCGTCTACTGTGCACTGTGTCTCTGATGTAATGGAGTCAGTGCGGGTATCCCTCTCTCACCCATCTTCCTCTGCAAATATATTCCAGACCAGTGAACCACTGAATGCTAAGCTCCAATAGCTGCAGCTGCAGAAGGGGCACTCTCCATAGACGAGTTATACTATATGTGTGATACTGCTCTCTATGGATATTATTTGAGCTGAAAGTACAATACAGTGTGAAAGCTTAGCGAGGGGCTCCCTCATATCTGCATTGCACTCTGTATATTTATGGACTGTCAGGATTTTATTTGAGGAGAGGACTTATAAGTGCAGGGTAGTCAGGGTTAGGTAGCGTTATATGAAGAGTAACCAACTCTTTTTCTCAATGTCTTTAAGTGCATACCCACCTATCAAGCCAATGCATGCATGTCTGGATGATGGGATGACAGCAATGGTGTTTGGCTAGACGCCACAAGCATGTTATCTCTAGTGCAGTGGGCCTGTAAAATGAAGCAATTGTTTGTGATTTCAGGTTATGGCCTAAGTATCTTCTCAGACATTTTGACTTTAAGGATTTTACAGGCTTAAGAGGTAAATATAGTTAGTATTACAAAATAAAAAGAGCAAACTCAGTGAAACTAAACATAATTCTATCTTTCTTTAATCATCTTGTGACCCTTCAGATTTATCCTGGGCCTCAGTGCCAATGCCCTGGATGGGATCCACTGCTCTAGTGATCCACAGCTATAATGGTATCTAATTTTATCTTCATTTGTTTGGGTTTCATTTTTCCAGATTTCGAAATGTTGGTGATTTTTTGCCAGCCCAAATCTAGTTAAAATTGTATAAACTGGTCACAGGCACAAAACTTTAGTAACTGCACCTTCTGAAATTACATTTTGCTTTTGAGTTTTTTTAATTACACTTTTCAGAGTTGTGAATTCAGCAAATGAAATTCCATTCACCTGCATCACATCGAGGTAAAGGCAGAAATCGCTAGGACAGATATCTCCAAACCTAGGCAAATAAAACCCCAAACTACTTGCAGGGGGAGATAGAACTAGAGGGAAGTGTGAATTTAGGTAAACTGACCCTTTTAAAAAATAAAAATTCCCCATGTAACTCAAATGCTGAATCCATGCATCTTTTAAGCAGAGTCCTCAAGGGGCTTGGTGCTTCGCCCTGTGTCTGACCCCCACCACCACACCACCCTCCAAACACACACATTCACCAGTGAGGAAATGGCCCTCTAGCCTTGAGGCCTTTAGATCCTGATGCGAGGTGACTCCTTACCTTTATTATTTCACAACTTCACTATTCATTACTGACCGTCATAAGTGGCCGTCGCCCAGGGGTGATGTCAGTGTTAACTTCCCTAATGACCCTTCCTTCCCTTTTCTCTCTCACCAGCTGGGACCACCATGTCATTGCCTGGCTGTTTTTTTCCACTGAAGTTGTTGCAACTCGAGCCTACAAATTATCAGCATGTGCAGAGTGCCTAGTGCAGCACGGCGAGAGAAAATACAAATCACAAAGTGCAAGTGCAGCACTATTCTCTCGCGCTGCACTGTTTCGTTCCCTGCTCCAGATTCTCTGCTGCTGCATGCAAGAACGTTTTAATAAAACTGATCCATGGCCGCAGCCGCTATCAAGGGTTCTGTGGCAAGAACAGGAAGGACGAAAATACAGACAGGAGAGAAGAGCTGCTATACTCAGAGAATCAATGCAACCAGTCAGTTTCAGGGCTACGGCCATCAAGCCGCCAGTCCTTGTAAGTGCTGCTCCTCTCAGTGGGAAGCACAAGCAGGCCTGGTGTGTTGATTACAAGTATAATCCATTAATCATCACTGAGTGCATGGAGGACTTTGATGAGAGAGGCAAGAGCAGACATTGAATTCCAATCATATGATGCATGCTGGCTGCAGGTACACATATAGAGCCTGCGCACCAATCTGTCCAGTGGGTTTTCAGCCTCCACCTTTTTTTAGATAAGAAAATTTAATTATAACTTCCAACCATATTCTCCATACTAATTACAGCATTACTTTTAGAGGAGTGGATGATGGTGTATGGGAGTGGTGCTGTTATTGTGGTGGTGAGGGCTGCCTAACCAGACACCCCCCCCCCCACCAGGAAATCTGAACAGGCTACTAAGATTCTGTACCACGGTGCCGGACTATGTAATTAAAAGCGGATCCAATTGATTTTTTTCACCCATATGCTCCATCTCAAAAGAAAAGAGCCTCTGCATGCTGCAATAAGATGACTACTCCAAGTCTCCCCATGTTGTTTCTGGATTAATGATAATTCATTATTGACTGATTGCAAATTAATTTAAAAGAGTTTTAAATGCTTGTATTAATTTTACATACAGTTTGGTTTGCCATGGGACTTTTAGGATTTTTTTCACAATGCTTCAGGCCTGTATGATACTATAATTAGAGGTGGTGGCAGTGTCAACATCCTGCTTTTCTGTCTCTGGGGCTCCCTCTGTCTTGTCAGCAGCGGTTATGGGTGATTGTGCTGCATCAAGGACTGTGTGCCCAGTGAAGCTCATTATCTACTGGCTATAGTAATGCATCTAACTCAGGAGGAAGGTGATTGGGTTATGCAACTGCAAGATGGGAAACAAAGAAACACAAGAGGTGATGAGTACTCGGTAAGAATGTTTCTGGTCTCTGTGAGATCCTGATCAGAATTTAATTTTGGGAAATACACTTATTTGTTTTCTTGATGAGAGACAGACAAATTTTTTTGGGATTATGCTAAATATGAAGCTGCAGCCAGGATACTTTTTAAATCTGTTTAAAGGACTAGTTTGGTCTCATGGAGTGTTATGTGACTATTTTCAGGGTGCAGTGACTTCCTGGAGTCTCAACACTTTGGCTTTTCACTGGATTAGCTAACAAGATATAATGTGTCACTTTCAAAGCTGTAGCTGTTTCCCCATTTTCAGTCAGTGTAAAGTAAGCTAACTGGCTGCTGGCTGTAGCTACATATTTAATGGACAAACAGGAACTTATCAGCCTTCTCATCTGTCTCTCCGCTGAAAGACAATAATTATAGCCAATAAATATTTCGCAAAATGTCATCAGTTCTTTTAAGGACCTTTTGATGATGAATTGGCACACTTTGCCCTCTACTTGTCATTTTTGTTGCAGGTTAAAGTTTAGCACCACAGCTTTATTTCACACATTTTTAACACTTATAGAAGAGCCCTAATGAGGTAGAAAAAATATCAATTAAGCTGTTCTTCATCACAAACATAACCCCTGCATGGATTCACTGTCCAGTGTGAGCTTGATCTGATATTTGATATTTTGATATTTTTAACTACTTATATGAAATCCACTTTTTTGTGCACACCATAAACATTTTAACAATAAAATATCATGCTTGTTAAGCTGTAAACATTTTTGTCACTGCAACTACATGAGCAGATCGGTGAGTAAATCTTACAGCTAGTTTTACTCCGTTTCTGCTTTTGTGTGTGTGTGTGTGTGTGTGTGTGTGTTAGCTTATTTGTGACATGTAAATGCCAATGACTCAGTGATCATCTTCCTGCTGTCACTTATTTATGTTCTTGGTTCAGCAGGATTTTATAGCTGAAATAGTGGGTGATACCCTTTTTATACACAGTCTATGGTGATACCTTATAAGCGTTTTGCTCCTCACAGCCCCTTCCCTCCTAATGTGAACAGTTGACATAGTGGGCTGTTTTGATTCGTGGTATGTAGTGCCGGTTTCCTGCAACACATCTTCTCCTAGCCGATGGTGACGTAGTTGCGCGCTTAACCGAGCCTGTCAGTGTGACTTTAAAAAAGGGGGCGGAGGGCTGTTGGTACAACCATTTCACACCTCAACCGAGTGAGAATACGCCTAATATGAATTATCTGAGGATGACAATTTATAGATGAAGCACCAGAAACTGACTTGCAGTCAGCGCTCAGGAGACACATCTCATTCCGGTGGTGAGCGAGGTCCAGCAGACAGCCCTGGCAACTTAAACACCGGCGTGCACAGCCGAGCGCGTTTCTAATGTAAGACACTGTTTAAAATAAATTGTGCTGTTTCTGTGGAGAAGACAGCCTGCAAAGAGGAGCTTTCCGGCAGTGCCTACATACAAGAGCGACATCATAGATTTCCTGCGCTATCGCAGCGAAGAGAGGGGGAGGAGGAGAGCGCTGATTCACGGCTTGAATTGAGGAAGGAGAGCCGTGCGGACGGACTCTGGAGATCCATCTCATATACTAAAATACCGACTCCCCCCCCCCCCCCCGCGCCTCCTCCTCCCTCGTCATTGACAGCTTTGCGACCCGGTCAGTCCGTCAGACAGGGAGGATCTGTGGAGGAGGGCGCCAAGGCAGGAGAGGACGAAAGGCGATCACCTCTGGCCGGTTTGATCCAATCGCCAACACCGTGTAGGTTGGGGACCTGCCTCTCCCTACATGAGGACGACACAGTGGCTGCACCGGGGGATTTTGGACCGAGGAGCACGTTTGACCCAAGAGATCCAAACAGCGAAATTATTCTGAGACTGTTGGCAGGCTGATCTGAACGGCAAAACAATAATAAAGGGGTTGGACAGGAGCTATTTCGCAGTCTCTACATAAACTCCCCGGAATACAAATCCAGGTATGTTAGCCTATAATGAATAACGCATGATGCAAACTCAGTGATATTAAATAATCCGTGCGTTAATGACCAATGCAACCCGGCACACCATGATAAACAGCTATTCGTGACAATATGTGACAGATTATAGAAACCATATTAGATGCATTTCAAGATCCATGTAGCTGCAAATACAGTCGGTAACTGATGTGAGCTGGATGTGGTCCCTTACTCTGGAGCGATTCATTCTGCCCGGGCTTTAACCCCTCTATCTGTTCCCATTGCTCCTCATCACTGGGCAGATATGATCCATTGCACCGGACTGAAATGGATTCGTGATATTGTCTAATGGGTGTGCCATTACAATAAATTGGCGTCTGTCAACGCAACTATCGGATACCGGTTGTAACAGTCTGCCGAGCTCGTCCTGCTGCTGATTGGCTGAACACCTGGATCAAAGTAATGACTATTTAGTTTCAGAAATGCGATTATATACGCTCGTATATTCTCTGTGCATCTTTACAGGTAGGCCTTTACGCACCCTATAAGTTGTCGTATGGGCCTATGGGCGCTCCAGCAGGGATTCCCCCCTCAGGTGACATCGGTATAGTAAGCGAAACTGCCTGATGATGATTAATCAGCAACAGCTGAGGCTCTCCGAGTGCCTGCTGAGTCCATGTTTACGCGCATCTCAAATTAAACAAGACCCTCTTCCCAAAATAGGAAAAGGGAAGAGGATCTGTGAGCGAACAGCCGATCTGCTCTCAGCAACTGTCTCAGCCATAAGGCTGCACGCATCAGTCCGGTAATATGGAAGGGTGTGCATGATCACTTAAAGATGCACGATATCAAACGTTAATGTGTGCTTTTCTCACTAAAATCCACTATCTTAGACGTGCAAGTCATCCAGAATTAGACTGATTAGGGCTTCAATTATCTGTCCGATTATTTTACTGATTAATTGTTTGGTCCAGTATTTTAAAGTGCAATGTTGACATAATAAATCGCTTGTTTTGTCTGACCAGCAGTCTATAATACAAGATATTTAGTTTAATACCAGAAGACAACCAGTATTATTTTATAACCAATATTCACATTTGACAAGCTGAAATCAGAGCATTTTTGGTATTTCTCCTTAAAAAATGATGAATTTATGAACTATCAATATAGTAGCGATTCATTTTCTGTTGATCAACTAATCCAATAATGGACTAATCATTTCAGCTCTAGACTGATAAATCTGTGAGATACTAGTCATGAAATGTTGCCCAGCTGGTTTCTTGGAGGTTCTGAAAACAAAAGTCTGTAAACTTTTTATTCACTCAGTTATTCAGTTAATTTGAGCACATTTTCTATAATTCTTAATTTTGCTATAGTGATTCCCTCTCATTGGGGCAAAACTGCTTTAAAGATCCTAACCATAAAGGAAGTGAATCCGTTTAGGTTTAAATGAGAGTATTACTATCCCCTGATGATGATGATGGTATTGTTTTAACCTTGTTTTTTTCATTTTGAAAGTTGTTACAAAATACTTGTAGTTTCAGTATAAGAATAATTGAACAGGTATTTCCTTAAAAATTAGGGCAGCCCCCTTCTGGTAGTGGTTTTCTATTGGTCCACCCTAAATACTGTGTATTAATACATTTAATATCACATACATACATAATATCAATACTGACATATGAAACTAGATATATTTAAGGATTTTTACTGTCATAATATTTTTACATGACTGAAATATGATTTTTTATAAACTTTATAATAATACTGCATGACATTCTCAGTAGTCATAATGATAACTATTGAGGTTTTAATTAAGATATTATGCTCTTCCACTTCTGTATATTTAAAAAAAATATATGTTAAAAGTTGTGTAAATGCAGTGGGTTAATTCTCAACTATTTCTGGTTGAAGAGGTCAGTGTTGGATTTAACTGGAATATGTCTCCACTCTTAATTTAGATGTCAGTTGAAATATGGCTCTTAAATTCCTGTGAAGTTTTTGTGAACAACCTTTTTGGTGGCTGCTGAACAGTCTTGATTAGACTGTTCACCCCTACATTCACAATGCAAAATACAATCCTTAAAACAGTAATTAGTATGCAAATTGTTTTTTGTAGCTCCTAATTTTGATGTCATGGCTCTAATGTTGGTACACATAAAACAATGGAATCGTTTACTGTCCATCACTTGACATTGCCTAATGTAGTTTGTGTTGTGATAGAAAATCAATGATTCAAATACAAAATCCTTGTGGGGTCATATACCTGAAGAGTGCTTAAATGTAATTATTTTATTAAGCTTTACATTATTGCTTAAGACTATGTGTTGGGTCTCTTAAAGGATTTCTCAATCATTTGATCAATTATTCCATCCCTATTGGATATATTACATTTTTTATAATGTTAAGTTTTTGTTAAAGGGACCTATTGTGCTTTCCCTTATTTTCTGATATGTAATAACTGTTACACTGTCGTATGTTCATACTAAACATTGCCAAATTTTTAAATAATGTCATAAATTATTATAATTTAAATAATTTTTATAATGCCAAGCTGACATCAGATTGTCAGGGATGTCCTTATATGGTCATCTGCTCATAATCTGCTCCAGGGACAGCATGCCCATGAAGTACAGGGACGCGCCCATCCACCCACTCTGGTGATAGTGCTTCCTCCAGCACTGGCACAGGATAAAAACGAAGTGTGGAGAAAGGTCCAGCTCTGCGACGCTACTCTGCTCAGGACTACTCTTCAACTTTTTGGAGTTTGTCTTGCAGAAAGTCCTTTTTCAGTGGTGATGAAAAGTTAGTTAGAAAGTTAGAAAGGTGTCTGTCTATTTAGAAACTCCATAAAATATGATCCAGTTTCACCAAAATCAGTAAATAGTTAGAAAAGTTGTGTGTTTTTGTACAGTAATCAGTGAGGCGTTGAGCAGATCTGCCAGGCCAAGCATATACCTACACCTCACCCCAGAAAAACTTTTTTCTCATTTGTGAATGAATGTGAATTCTTCAAATTCAGTGCCCCATCACTATTTTCCACAATAAGTTAAAGCTGTCATATGCCATCAAGCAAACTGGCAAGAGGATGAGGTGCTCCGGACTCAAAGCACTGAGAACTCTATTCAGATACTTCTGTTAGTACACCGTACTGTGTAGACTATCTACTTACTTACGTTGTGCGTTAATTTCGACAGGGTAGTGTTGTCTTAGATCAAGCACGGCCGCTGTTCACTTACCGGAAATGACAATCACAACATTTGACCGCTGTTTCTTGTTAATGGCAAATTATACAGAGTCATATCCTTATCGTCAACATTTGTCAGTGATTGTCACCCGCCAAAATATCTGCCAGCTTGTTTTTTTTTACTTGACTTCAATCATACTTTATTAAAAATGAATAAAAACGTACTTTTACTTGCTTGTGTGTGCTATCACGACCTCTGCAGCTTACTCAGCTGCCATCTTCACAATTTTGAAAATACGTTGGTGGTCCCTCCCCTTCCGCTACCTATCCAAGATGGTGACCATTGAGGGTGAGAAGTGTCCAGCGTTCCACACCACAACTGACTTAGGGTGAAAGTGCATTGCATTTTGCAAGAGTGGATTTTAACAGTCGATTTACAGTAGAAATAGCGGAAGTAGTGGTGATAGTAGCAATATGAGGGCCATACTGAGGTGAAATTCAAGGGTGAGAAATGCATTTCTACAAGCACATGGAATATTTTGTCACATATTTTAAAATTATTAAAACTACTACTTAGGATAGTATCTACTGTTTCTTTTGGAAGACCTGGAATGTATTTACAATTACAACATAATCTTTCTGAGCATGATTTTATTCAGCTTGTGAAATGTCTAATGGGACAAGGCAAGAGGTAGTTAGCAGGCAATTGACTGCCCAGTCTTACTGTATGGCCTTTAAAATTCTCTGTTTCACTCTGATAGTTTGCTCTTAGATTTATGGGTATATGGCTCGTGGCTTGGCTTCTGTGCCATTTTGTTGTACCTATGTTTATCCAGGTATAGGCTGACTGAACACATTTACTCTTTTTCATCACAGCCATCCTTTCAGTCAACAAAATAACACACATTCACACATGGAGACACAAGAGTCTTCAAATGTCTGCACTGAAGCTGCTGGAAATCACTGGGAAGTGTTAGAAGGATTAGAACTTTCAACTCATTTAAAGCTGCTGTAATCTGTATTTTTATATTAATGTATCACATGACGTATGTGTATGTGAAAGAGGTGTTTGTAGTGATGAAAGCTCATTGTTTTGATATTCTGGCCTTCATCTTACTGTTTTGGATCACTCTCACATGGTGTCCTATTTGGATGTGGCAGGCAGCTGTTTTAGGGGAAAAGCTCTGAAAACTGACTCTACATTACATTTCCAGCACCAAACAGTCAGAAGACAAAAGTTAACTAGCTATCTGGTGAACATAAAGGAGAATTAAGCCACTACAGAGCCAGATATTTGCCATAGGAGTTGGTGAAGACCAAAATTAGAAGAATCAATATTAGATTTACATTCAGGTGTACAGAAACACAACTCAAAGTTAATGTTAATTAAGTCTTAATTTTAGTATAAAATATGCCAGTACATTTTGACTCTTGACACTTTGGATTTAGGATACCTCCTCTTGTATATCACCTTAAGTTAACCAGTCATTTAATCATTCCCGTCCCTAGGTTGTAACATACTGAAAGGCTCTTTAGTTTTATTTCTGCCTCATTGCAGTTTCTTCCCATCCACCCCAGCTAGCCACCAAGCAATAAAAAAGACAGGGAGAAGGTAGCAGGTCAGCAGTAACTCTAAAACAGGAAGATGCACTTCCCTTAGTTTCCCAGTGGCTTCAAAAATGTATCCCTGCTGTAATTGTTTTGTATTTTCAAATAAAAGTAATTTACAGGATATTGTGCAAATTTTCTTCATTACTAAAAGTTGACTCTTAAGGTGAGTTTCTGTGTTAAACTTTCAAACTGCTACAAAGTCCAAACAGCTGACCCTAACCCTAAATCTAGTTTTCAGATTAAACTTTTCTCTCATTAAGGTACAGTTTTATCACTTATTTCCCTGTTGTTTTTGTTTGTGCTCAGCGCTGTCCATATAAATGGCTCTGCTGATTTAGTTAAATTTAAGCTCCTTGTCTTCCACTTCTGCTGCTGTTTGCTGTCATCCTTCTCTATCCTCCAGATCAGTGTGGTTCTCTGCAATCAAAATCTTTTTTTAACATCTGAGGAATTTCAAACTGAGATATCCTCCATTTTATCCACCTCTAAATAAAGCACTTTCTGAATGTTACTGATACCTCAAAACACATCATAATGATACTGCCAGTGAGGCAATTATGTGTATCTAGGAACCATTAAATTAGAAATATTAGAAATAATTTATTCTAGAATAGATTAATTGGTTTTGCCCATGCCTGAGTTTGCACAGAAGACGCTGATTGAAAGTTTGCCAGTTTTTTTGCAGACATTAGTTGACACTGCTCAGGTGTAAGGTGTGTTAAATTGGTGTGAGTGCTTCAAATATGCCAGCTCCTGTTTGACTACCCACACCTCCACTGAAAATTTTGTCAGCTATCCAAACTGGCCAGTGGTCTGTCTGGGTGATAGATGTAATTTCCAAAAATATCACCTGGGAGTTCAAAAAGTTGGAGTTATTTTAAGTCGTCAGATCCAGTGTACTGCGTAAAAGTTAAATCAAATGAGAAATTTGCATTACACAGCATAACATATGCCATTTAACGGATGCTTTTATCCAAAGTGCCTTAAAGTGCCATGAGTGCGTACTGTACACATTTTAGTGCGGACGGCCCCAGAGGTAATCAACCCTTTAACCACGAATCAGAACACAAGAATGTACTTTTAAGTGCAAAATGTAGAAAGACATTTAGCTCAACAAAAGGAAAGGGAAACAAGTATGGGAGTAATAAAAAATTGCAATCCTCCAGTGAATTCAGGACAGAAAGATTAACTTAAATAGTCTGTATCTTTCTGCAGAGATAATTTTAATTCAGACTAAACAGCCTGTGTCTCAGGGGCCCAAAGGTGTGGTGGAGGCTGCAGAGGGGCCCCACCCATCCTCCTGAACTACTAAATAATCACAAGTTCCTCTGAGAAGAGAGCCTCTATAATAAATCCCCCGTGTAATGTCTTACAGCAGCTCACATCTTCTAAGTTTGTGGTGGTTAACTGTTCTTCATGCTCCCATTGCCTCTGGCCTCAGCTGTTTGCATCAAAAGAATTGTCAAGTCAAGTAAGATGCTTAGCCTGAGCTTTTATGAATTCGGACAACGTCTGCATTGTTATTGTGATGATGCTTTCTCTTGCGGAAGTGGTAAGTGTGCATTTAGGGCTCAGTATGTAATGAATTTGGACGGGACATCTGTACCCTTTGTTTCAGTTTGCCTCTTGACGTTCTCCTGCCTCCTCTCTGCTATTTTTTGCCAATGCGACATTTTGGACAGTGCTTAGTTTGGCAACATTTCACGCCTGCTGAGCGAGCTGTTTGGTTCAGAGCTGTGTATTACCCCTGAGATTTCAAACAATCACGCTCAAATCCACATTATTGGGCGCACATATCCACATCTAAACTGAAAATAAACTTTATGATTGGAAATGAGCCCACAGGCAATGATTTTATTAAACTAATGTTATCTACAATGTTCACATAGTGGTTTACAGACCTCTAAGCATGGGGAAGCGTTTTCCAGCCCGCCTCTCATAGATAACATAAAGGTCTCCTGACTATGCTGTTTGTAAAGAAGGAGGCAGAAACTCATTGGTCTTTCAGAAGGATAGTAGGATAATTTGAATTCTCACAGTCATATAAAATGGAGAAATTCTTTTCTTGCTTCAGACACAGTGTGTGTTTCTCCCTGTGAAATGCAAATACACAGTCTTACAAACTTGTACTACTACTACTCCTCAAACTTGGGGATTTAAAAAAAAAATATGGAGGTAACCTAAGGTTGGACTACCATTCTATTATGTGATTACATTAATTATTTCATTATTGTGTGTGACTAATAAATGGAGCCATTAGAAAGCCATCAGAAAATGTAATACTTAATGCATTAAGTAAGTACAATAAAGATTTATGTAGCAATAGATGCATTTATCTATCTAGTAAAAAGTAACAAAGTAACATGATTGTTTTACCACTGCTGTTTCTGTCTGAACGTTGTTTCTATCATATGAGAGTAAACTCTTTGTGTCTTGTAATACAGGTATACTATAACATCTACATAATGGCTTTTGTTTCTGTCTGTTGTGTTTAGGTGGTGGGTGGAGAAAAAGCACAGCCCAGTGCTGGATCCCAGAGGGACTGTCAGTGTGGTAAGGACCCTTGAGACGAAGGAGGGTGCATGGAGGGTTCAAGGCCTGTAAAGCCAGGGTCGTCAGCCTTGCTTTGGTTGGGGCTGGTCTCTGTGGCTGTAGCCTTCCTTTGTACAGAGGCCCGGACCACTCCGAGCCCTCTACTTAGCCCCAGCAATGCAACCTGCACAGGAAACTCCAAGTGTCATGCAGGGATTATCCTGCCCATCTGGTATCCCGAGGATCCCTCCATGGGAGACAAGATCGCACGGGTCATTGTGTATTTTGTGGCAATGATCTACATGTTTCTTGGAGTGTCCATCATTGCAGACCGATTCATGGCAGCCATTGAGGTCATCACCTCCCAGGAGAAGGAAATTGTCATCAAAAAGCCGAATGGTGAAACAACCACCACCACGATCCGGGTGTGGAATGAAACAGTCTCAAACCTCACCCTCATGGCCTTGGGCTCATCCGCCCCTGAGATTCTGCTCTCTGTAATTGAGGTTTGTGGTCATGGATTCAAATCTGGTGAGCTCGGACCTGCCACAATTGTTGGCAGTGCAGCCTTCAACATGTTTGTCATCATTGGCCTCTGTGTGTCTGTCATTCCCCAAGGAGAGGTACGCAAGGTCAAACACCTCAGAGTGTTCTTTGTCACTGCAGGCTGGAGCATCTTTGCTTACATCTGGCTCTACATGATTCTGGCTGTGTTTTCTCCTAATGTAGTCCAGGTCTGGGAGGGTCTACTCACATTGGCCTTCTTCCCCATATGTGTACTCCTTGCCTGGGTCGCCGACAGACGACTGCTCTTCTACAAGTTCATGCACAAGAAGTATCGCACAGATAAGCACAGGGGTGTAATCATCGAGACGGAGACTGAGCGCTCCAAGGGGATTGAGATGGATGGCAAGATGGTCAACTCTCACTTCATGGATGGAGGTGCGGCAAGCAACCTTATTGGTTTGATCGAGAGCAAAGAGGTGGACGAGTCCCGGCGTGATATGATCCGCATCTTGAAAGACCTGAAGCAGAAGCACCCAGAGAAAGAGTTGGATCAGCTGGTCGAGATGGCCAACTACTATGCTCTCTCGCACCAGCAAAAGAGCCGTGCCTTCTACCGGATCCAAGCTACACGCATGATGACAGGCGCAGGAAATATCCTGAAGAAGCACGTCGCAGAGCAGGCGAAGAAGAGCATTAGCGTGCAGGAGGTGCATGTGGAGGAACCAGAAGAGTATGTGTCTCGAATTGCATTTGAGCCTGCTGTCTATCAGTGTCTCGAGAACTGTGGAGCCGCCATTCTGACCATCACCAGAAAGGGTGGCGACATCAACAAGACGATCTACGTGGATTATAAGACAGAGGATGGCTCGGCTAACGCTGGGGCTGATTACGAGTTCACAGAGGGTACAGTAGTGTTCAAACCAGGAGAGATGTTCAAGGAAATAAGCATTGGCATCATAGATGACGACATCTTTGAGGAGGACGAGCACTTTTTTGTGCGGCTCAGTAATCTGCGTGTCCTGGAGACTGAGGATGAGGTGCTGTCCGCCAACAGTCTGCCATACCCAAAGGCTATTCTAGGTTCCCCCAGTGTTGCCACTGTGACCATTCTGGATGATGATCATTCAGGCATCTTCACCTTTGAGAGCAACTTAGTGCACGTAAGTGAGAGCATTCGTATTATGGAAGTGAAAGTGCTAAGAACTTCTGGAGCAAGGGGGACAGTCATTGTGCCTTATCGCACCGTGGATGGACTCGCCAAAGGAGGAGGGGAGGACTTTGAAGACACCTATGGAGAGCTTGAGTTCAAAAATGATGAGACCTGGTAAGACAGCAACCCTTTTTTCTCATGGTTTTGGGGCAGTTGCTCTTCAATAATGTATTGTTGGTGATTTATTTTTGGCTATTGCCTGATTTTTAATCAACCAAGGTTATTGAAAATGAATCCCATTTAGGAGTAATAATTATTTTATTATTATTACTTATTAATAATTAGTTATTTTCTTTGTGTGCTTGTTTTTGCATCCCATTGATTTGTGTGTTTTGTTTTTCAATTGCAGTTTGATGGTGATTAACCTGTCAAAACATGATAGCTACAGCATATATGATATCATAGCTAGCTTCAAAGCTATTCAGCAGTCTTCCTTTGGTACAAAGATGTTGTCTGCTATGCCATTTGACATAATTTAATTTAGAAATTACTTTGATAACCTATTCATGTGCTGTTTGCACTCATCACTCCGTGATTTAAATGTTTTTTTCTTGACAAGGTTAGACAGCATTCACTCTCATCAGAGCATGCATTCTGTATCCCCCTTTTTTCCTGTCAAGAGATTTTGCTCTCATCAGAGCGCAATCCTGTGCGTGTCGCATGCAATAGGGATTCAACTTTAGGATTCGTCACACAACTGTAGAAACAGGAAGTCCTTAAGTAACCCCCCTCCCCTTGCTTCTTTAATCCCTGCTGCTTTTGTTTGGTCGAAATCTGGATTTTTGCTCTCTTTTTTTTCATTGTTTCTCTGTTATGTCTGCTACAATTGAAAGCAAACAGTATGGAAGAATAGGAACAGGATAACAAAGAGAGAGAGAGAAAATTACAACAACAAATGTCAAAGGCCAGGATCAGGCCCTTGTAGTAATCAGTGCATGGCAGTCTTTTAGGTGAGTAGGCAGCGTGTATCATAATGAGTGACAAGCCTGAAGCTTTGATTCCTTCTGGGGGCAGCCATGCTTGCAGAAGCTTGCAGTTTGGTGGTAAGCATCAATGAGTAATAGTGATGTTTTATGTAAATTGTGTATGTTATGTAGCCTTGTCAGCTGTACCATCTGTGTACTGCAAAAACACATAGGCTTACAACTGAGTGGGCATATTTGGCAGTGTTGCAATAATAGCAACATACTGTACTGTAGTACAAATGGCATCGGCGCCATGTACTGTATCACACTGCAGCCCTTTGTCCCATGCATGTAAGGCAGTGCTCTGGGATACAGATACAGAACCGCGCCTCTTGAGAGATATTGATTTTGTTTTTTCACAGCTTGCATTCGCTTGCATCTCACACATTGGTCTGCAGGCACTAAATCAAAGTGACATGTGTCTGTGACATCCCCTTCCCCCACCAATCAAGACCCTTTCAGTGTGCTGTGGCTCACTGGCAGGGTCTGTGCTCCAGGGTGAGGGTTCCTAAGGGCTGAGGCAGCCCAGGAGACCGGCGGCAGGGGAATGAGTGTCGGGGTGATCAGCATGCTCTTGGGGCCTGCTGAGCTCTCAGGGTTTTGCTTGATTTATGTGAGAGATGCTTTATGGGCCGCGCCTGAAGGCTGCCGGAGGAGTAGAGGGGAGAAATGTGGAGAAAGACTATCATCATGAGGCTGCTGTGATGTTGTTGGCATTGTGAGGGAATGCTGGTCTATCGATCTGTTCATTGTGTTGTGCATCGTGCTGCGAGTTAGAGTTCTCCCACATTGGAGCGGTGCGTACAGCACCGCTCCGATGTGCTGTGAATTGATAAATGCCAGTAGTGATCTGGGAGAAGAATCAAACCATTTGGCCAAATGGCCAAATAATTATTGCTTCAGAATATTTCATAGACAACTAGGGACTTAAATTTCCTCATCATACATTTCATAAATTGAAAAATAGTGACACCGAACTGATAACTTTAGCAATCGGGAATTAGAATCAGAGTGCATGTTTAATTAATAAGTGCATTAAAGAATAGTGTAACATTTTGGGAAATATTCTTACTCACTTTGTTGCAGAGAGTTAGATAAGACACCATTTATAAGTTTTCCTTTAACAGTGCAGACGACAAGGACAAACTAAGCCTCGCCTACACCCCACACCATCCCACTTCCCCAGACTCTTCCTAATAACACAAAAACAACACATTACACTAACAAGAAGATTTAATATTTAATCAAAACACTGTCTGCATGTAGATGAATTGTTAGTTTGAAAGACTGAGGTTATAAGTGCCAGGTCAGTGGTCATAATGCCTGACCTTTGATCCTTTTTAGCAACAACTAAAATCATACTGTTGCTTTTAAATCAGATGTAAATGTAAACTGAGACATTTTCAGTGACAGTGCAAAGGAGAGGCTGTGTGCTTACAAAAAAGAATATGATAACTAGTTAATACATGTCAAAATCACCGTCTGTGCAATAAATGTCAAGGAAATGGTCTTGTTGACATATGTTCAGTCATATTGACAATGTGCAGTTTTATATCCACACTAACACACAGGGAACAAACTAACAAGATGGGAATTTTACTGCAAAGGGACAGCACAAGACATATTGTGGATATTAAACTAAACTTACGTAGTCAGTGTTGATTAATGTACTCGCTACAGAGTATTGATAAATGTTATATGATTTCTCAAAACATACAGGACATTATTCAGTTGAGCGGTTAAAACAATGAAAATTGTTCATATGCATGAACACGTTTGAGTATTAATATGAAAATATTTCCTTTCCCCTTCAGAGACTTCTGGATCTTTTGTAGAAATGGCACTGCTTTTTCCGGAATTCCAACAAATCTCAAGAAATTTCCATAATGATACTCGGATAATGATGAATTAGATTCTGTGTGCATTCATAAAAAAGACAAAGAGGAGCAGTAGAAGTGACAGCTTCATCCAGAAGCATACCAGAAGATTCATGAGAACATTTCCAAACACAAAACTAAAGGGATAAATGTGTAGAATATTCACTAAAGGCATAATTACAATGATGTTTCTTCCGCTGCCTTGAAAGCTCTCCTCAGGGTCGTTTTCACGCTCAAAACATGGAAAATACAGAATTTATTTGCCTACATTCCCTTCACATTCATATTCCTACTCTGCCGTGTATGGAAATTGACAATGGAAATGTTACGTTTATTTCCATTTTGCATTGATGTTGAAATAACAGAAGGACACACACACACACACACACACTTGGCACAACAGTTTTCCTGCTAATTCAGTGTTAATTGCGACAACTTAATGAGGGCAGACTGTGCTCCCTGTCTAAAGGGCAAGGGCTTTTTTTTGATACCCTTAAGGACAATTAGACCACATAGTTCTTGAGCTCTCATGCTCTTCCTTTCTCTCGCCCCCTGTTTTACGAGGCATTGACTCTCAATCTCTTTTGACACACATTGTGCCCATTGTTATCAACCAGAGTGGAAATTTATTACAGTCCTAATCTGGAGCTCTGGAACACACCACTCCAATTCTTAGCCAGACAATACTTCTCAGCACGAAGGATGAAGTTTAATAGTTTCTTAGTGGCAGTGCTTCTGCTCCGAGCTAATGGAGATGAACCTCAGCTAGCCACCATGAGCTTCTCAAAAGTACACTTCATGGCGGTCAAAGCTATAAAGTGACTCTCAATTTAAAGAGTGCTTCGTAATAGGTTAGGTTAGGCTAACAGGTACACATTTGGGGTGGTAGAGAGCAGACGCCCTCTACCTTTTTGGCTTGAGCCTACTTGTGACCCATCATCACAGGTTACAGCCTTAGCGTAGACATGGGAGCAGCGCTGCATCTAACAGTTACTTACGATTGATTTTTATCTCTTAATATGTTGATTATTTGTTAGACTAATCAACATAAGACTTCGTTTTTCTTTTCATATTTAAGTTTTAGAGGTGTGAAGTGGTGAAAAACACAAAACATTTTAGAAAAGTCAGAACTAGCCACAAAAAAAAATTGTGTGAGCGAGTTTGCTGCTGAGAATATGAAATGTCTGAAGGTTGCAGGCTTCGGTTTCCTTTGACCCAGTGAAGATAGCACAGCTGTTAGGTGGAGAAGCTCCATCCCTGGAGAGAGGAATGTTTAACTAGGCGCTGATGGATTCATAAACAAATGAGTGGTGTGCAGCGGACAGACCAGAATCAGCTAAAGTAATTGCCACTGTGGTCACGCCTGAATGAGCATGACACTCCTGTGCTTGTAAACCTGCCTTATATTTTTATATACAGCATCACATAGGGGGCTGTATGCTCATGATAAGATACAGGGATGTCCCCTTTCCTGTGCTATCTACCCTACTTCCTACAGCTCTTGAAGGGTCCTTACCCAACCTATTTCCTTAATATCACTTGGATATGTAGCTGTCACCCCTTTGGGCTTCATGACTGACAGAACACATGTCCACGCTGATCCTCATCCTGCCGACCACTCAGCTTTTCCGCCTGCCAGCACTTTTCTAGACACCCTGGAATAGACCCACGAGGTTTACCTTACCACCCTGCAGCCAGCTCTCACACACAACCAGAGTCATCTCAAGCTCAGCTAATCATATTCGATGCTGTGCTTCTATTGTTTTATTCATGCAAGCCTCATAGTTTCTGTTCTCTCAATAATTGGAATGTGTCTTTGTATTTTTACAGTGCCTCAGGGTGCAATCACACTTTGTTTTCTTTTGTAATGTGGTGAAGTTTATTTTGTAGTATTTTCGCATTTGCTTCATTACAGTTTACGTCTAGTTAAAAGTGAACAAGGGCTTGTAAACAAAAGTAACTCATACGTGGCTCCATTTTTCTGGACAGTTTTGGTTTTGTGAGCCTATGAAGTGTGAGATTTTTGCAGACAAGGAATCATAAAAACAGTTGTACAAGTAACATGTAACGCATGTTCATCTTGTCCCAGAAAATACTGATTTAGTGACTTGCAGACATCAAGGTAACATTTGTTGATAATTGAATATTCTGTAGACATAAGTCACATATAAGCATTATTTAAACAGTATTTAAAGCCCCTCCAGCCAGTTTTAACTGCCGTTTTTGGTTAACGTTCTTTCTCAAACAGAGAATGGGGGTGTGGTTAATAGTC